TTTTTTTAAGGCGGAGATGAAATTCAAGGACAAATGGCTTGCGTGCGTTTCTCTTGGGGAACAGACGTTCCGCACCACCATCTCCGATCCGTTAAGTCCTGTTTGTTTGTTATGTCTTTGATGTTTTCTCTCTTTTCGACCCTGTCCGCCGTTGATTAATCAATTCCAATGGTGTACAGTATATGAAATAGTCATAGCTTTTGTTTTTCCTTTCGTAATTGCGATAGATGATTTTGCTGTTCGTTGTGCTGTTTTAACCAATATCCTCATACATGATGTTACTAATTATCTCTGTTTATGTTACTAATCATGAGTTGATGAGACATGGGGACTGAAGCTGTGGTCATAAATTCACTGTATCATTTGAGATAAAAGTTGTGGGAGACTCCCGCTACGCTGGCTACGGAACCATTCCGTTGGAATATGTTAACCGTTAGATCAACTATTTCCGACTATTACATGACGATCTAACGGTTACAAACCCGACGGAATGTTTCCATAACGGGACGTAGCATTTTCCGTTGTGGGAGATGGAATGGTTCCGTAAAGGGACCGTAACATTTTCCTAGGAAAAACCATATGGATGTCAATAATATGTTTCCTTTTTTAGTATATTCTACAGTGGTGGCTTGATGCTCTCGGCTGGTCATAAGATGACTGAAGCTGACTTTTCATTACCTAAAACAAGCAAAAAGTACTCTCTGTTCGTGTCCAGAGTTTTTTTGTTTCAAAACTTATATGAAAGATGACTCACATGTTTAAGAATATCTCTCTTTGTCTCTTTGAAAGGAAACCTTAAAAGGTTCAGTCAAGCTTATTTTTCAAAGCTCTAGGAAGTGCTTGGTGTGTTTGTAGCGATGATTTTAAATTAACTCTACTGAACTGGATAATCTCTTGTTATCCACTGGCACTGACTGTGCTCTTATTTTTTGTACAGCACCGACCAACCTGTCTGGAATTCTGTAAGTACTGTTGAACACTATTCCCATTTGAGATATAAATCTTCATTCTAAGTGCATAGTTCCCAAAACGATAGATAATATTATAAATCTTCATTATAAGTGCATAGTTCATGTTTTCCTTTCAACCATGGTCTAGCGTCTAGGTAATGCATTACTGTAGTTGATCAAGAACTGGATACTCCTTTTTATATTATATGGGTATCATTCTTTGGCAACTAAGGGTATAACATATGTTGCCAAATACGTGTGTGGCCAGAAGAATCATGACTAACTATCAGTTTTTCCCTATTGATATGAATACTCTCAGTCTTCTCACAATAGTTGGAGTAATCTGCAGATCCAGTCAGCAGACCATTTTCATATCTTTGTAAAATGAACATACATGGGACTTTTCTTTTCATTTCCTTTACTTTTGCAAATAATGGGGTTATCATTTTGGAATTAATGTGTAGCATGCTATTGGTTGCACCATTAAGTTTGTTGTAGATTGTTTTTGTTATGACAATTTTCTTAAGGTGAATCTGGGTTCTTGTCTGCAGGAGAAAAAGCTTCTTTTGGACAGAAATGGGGCTCATGTTGCGAGAATATCTGTATTTGAGGTCCTTATTGATTTTATAAGCCTGTAAATGGGCCATTCATCAATTTTGTTACAATCAGGAGAAAAAGTTTTCCTAAAGAAACGTTATTCTACTATCTCTATGTGGTGTGTGTTTTATTTAGTTGAAACATTTTGATGATCTATTCCAAGAATATTAATTTCATCTGTGTATTAGTATTACACATATCAATCGCTTAATATCTAACTTGTAGTTATAATGCAGACAAATAAAATCTCCAAGAACAATCTGATTGGTTATTGCGAGATTGATCTTTATGATTTTTTTACACGGGTGAGATACTTCTCTCTTTGACTTTTCTTGTTTAGTATTTTACATAGTGAACATTCGATGTAATGGATATTGGAGAAATGCATTTCCTTATAATGGGTCGGTGCACGTGATTGGATGAGGAAGTGAATTGAAATGATATTGTGAAGTTAACCAGGATGAACTATCTTAGGTGTTGCTATTTTTCTGTTTTGACTGTTTGGTTCTATGAATTTACATTTGTTTTACCATTTTTATTGTGATTTACGTTATAATTTATTTCAAATTCATTTTGAAACCTATTAGCATTTCACGTCTCTTATTGCATTTTTTACTCCTCAATTCAGTATCCGATGCTCCATGCATGCATACAATATACGAAGCACTTCTATATTTTCATATAATTATAGTAATGAACATTTATAACTGACTAATTTTTACGAAATTTATTTCATATGAAAACTAATATTGTGTTCTCTTAATTGACGTTTTGATATTTTATGTGGGCATTCACATTTATCATAATCCTGTTCATAGGAAGGGCCTGGTTGTTGAATAGAAGGCCCTAGACTTGATTGCCTTCTCATAATTTGATGGATTATTTTAATGTTAACAAAAATGTGATCATTAAAAAAAAAAAAAAAAATGATAATTTTCCTTTTCCTGTATTCTTTGCTTGCATGGTCTGTATTGGAAATATTAGTGGACTTGTTTATTTTTTGTGCTTTAAGAGTATATATTTCTTTGGGTGCTATATGTTTGTTCCTTAGAGGGCCTGACAAAGTTAGCTGGTTTGTTGTTGGAGGTGGGTGCCGGGTGGGGAGAACTGAGAAAAGTGAGATACATTTTTTTTAATGGAGATGGAATGAAGGGCAGAGCAAAAACACTGTCATTTCTAAATGATTTTGGTGTTTTGCAGTTGCATTTTGATTCTCTTATCCCTTTTATGTTTTAAGACAAAAATAAAGTTCATAACTCATGGAAATAAAGTTGCCTTTTGATTCTCTTATCCCTTTTATGTTTTAAGACATTTAATAAAGTTGAAACTCATGGAAATTTTTTATTAGAAGAGCAAGTTGAGCCAAATAACCCATGGCATTAAGGTTTCTTGCATATAGTTGTGCTGTTCTCGAACCCCCCGTATCAACTTAGTCATTCCACTAAAGAAAGTAACTATTAGAAGTTATGTTTATCCCACGCTGATTGGATACTGGGCTGTTATTGTGCATAAGTGTGGTCCTCTCTCTTTGAGAAGCTTTTGGGGATGTGTTCTACCCAGACCCATTTATCATGGTAGCAGAGCATCCAGGTCTTGTTTGTTTGGAGGTGATGCTGTTTTTGGGCCCGACCCATTTGGTTTGGCACGCTGCGCGCGAGTGGGGTGGGTGGTGGGTGGGGGTGTTGGAAGTTATGTTTGCCTCACATTGATTAGTTACTGAGTTCTTATTATGTATAGGTGTGGCTGGGCACCCTCTCCCTTTGAGATAGCTTTTGGGGATGAGTTCTATCGAAGTCCATTTATTGGGGATAAGTTCTACCCAAATCTACTTATCATGATATTAGAGCACCTACGTTTTGTTTTTTTGGCGGCAATGTTGGGTTTGAACCCGTCCCATTGTGTTAGAAGTTATGTTTGTCCCACACATCGATTAGTTATTGGGCTGTTATTGTGTATAAGTGTGGGTTGGGCACCCTCTCTCTTTGAGCTAGCTTTTGGGGATGAGTTCTACCTAGGCCCATTACCTGTGACAATCGAAAATTATTATTAATTTTTTGTTGCAGGATTCAAATTCTAACATAAATATGCTGTTTTCAATTCTATAGGATTCGGGTTCTGATGTAGAAATATATGATCTAGTAGATCCAACATCTTCTGGTGGAAAAGTTGGCCGCATAAGTTTGTCATGTTCCATTGAGGTGAATTTTTTTATGCCTTTATTCAGCTGCATTGGTAACCATCTTTGTGGCATGAGGTCAATTATAATACTTGCAGGACCCACTGGAAACAGAAAAGAGTTTTGCTCGGCGTATTTTGTCTATAGTGGTAAGGAGTTGCTCTCTGCATGTATCATTTGTTTATAGTGGATTTTGACTGCAGTGGTGATATATTTACTCGTTGCAAGTGATGAGCAATAAACTCCACCTAACCTATCAAGACCAGAGAGCATCATTGCGGTTGATGATAAGTCTAGTGTGTGTCTAGATGCTAGGATATCAACGAACATTTTGTTTCCTGTTCGGTCTGAATGAATTCTTTCTTTGTGGTTCAACATGTTGTTTCTGTCTTTTTTTTTTCATACAGGATTACAATGAAGACGGATGTCTATCATATGCTGAATTCTCCAACTTAATTGATGCATTCGGCAACCAATTGGCTGCTACCAAGGTTTGCTACTGTGCTTTTATGTGTGTTCCATTTCTGTCACTGAGGACAAATTAAAAAGGATTAACTGCCTTGTTCATGCTTTGGCAATGTGATCATTTCTTATAAAAGTGGTAATTAATGATATGGTCAGAAATCACTTGGATAGACCGATGAAGGGTGTTGTTTCCTCACGTAGATCATTTATTAGATTGACATCATTCCTATAATAGTCACCACCAAAGTTGAGTGCCGCTTGAAAATTCTTAAAATGTACTTATGTAGCCATTGCCAGTCATCATTTATCAAGAAACTAAAGTGATTGGATGGATATGCTCTAAAACAAATGTTGCTCGTGTCTACGACATTATGTTATTTCCCCGTTGAATGGACATTTAAACATACATGTCCAAATTGAGGGATGTGTCTCCAGTTATATCTGTCTTGGCTTTTAGTTAACTATATATGCTACCTCAGGATAGTGCTGAGTAGTGAGTAGGGTACTGATTACTTGCTACAGCACAATGAAACATCTTTAAGTGCTATTTTTGCCAATTGATTCCTTTTAGTTCATTGTTAATTTAATTTGTTCTCAGAAAGAGGAACTTTTCCAAGCTGCTGATGAAAATGGGGATGGGGTTGTCAGCATTGATGAGTTGGCTATGCTTCTAGCCATTCAAACTGAAAAGTAAGCAGTTAATTTTTTTGGCAAAAGCAGACTTTTGCGTATTATCAAGTTCTATGGATTTCTCAGCCCTCTGTTACATTCTATATTTAATGAAGCATTTATTATCCTTGGTATGGTATATTGATATAATAATAACAAAGAATAATATGCTTTTCTTGCACATTTACACAATGTTGATTGCTCGACACATGTTGAGATGAAATGGAGATTTGTGATTTTCATTTGAACTTTAAGTGTACTTAATTTTTTTCTTAAAATCTTTTTACTGCAGGGATCCACTAATTAATTGCTGTCCCGTCTGTGGTGAAATTCTTCAATTGTCGGATAAGTTGAATGCGGTAGTTCATTTGACTCTGTGTTTTGATGAAGGGACTGGAAATCAGGTGATGACTGGAGGATTTCTGACCGATAAGCAGGCTTCCAATGGGTGAGGACATATCTATTGTGAATTTCTCTTGCTTTTGGGGTAGAGATGATTTTATTATAGATGTTGCCTCAGGATTATGTGAGGACTAAAATTGAATTTGGCTTCTGCCATAGGCATAAGATAGAAAAAGTTAAGAAATGTTACCTGGAATGTGGGAGTGGTAACATATATTAATTATTCACGACAAATTGCCAAGATAATTACATTTGTTATTACCTACCTATAGGAATTACTTAAGTGATCACTGTTTTTGTTAGCTGTCTATAAACAAACATGTATGTGATTTGACGATCTCGCTTTTGTAACCATCCATAGACGTTATAGTGGGTAACCTTTTGTTTCCATTTGACCGGTCAAACATCAACATTTTTCTACAGGTGGATGTTCAAAGTGAGTGAATGGGCTCATTTTTCATCATATGAAGTAGGACTAAGGTCTGGATCCAGTGCATCACATATACTGGTAAACTTTCCCTCAGCTCATTTTCATGGTAACACTAGTACAACGCCCGTGTATTACACGGGTGCTTGCTAATTTTTTATTAA